AACATCAAATAATCTAAAATAAAAAATTTATAAAAGTCTTAACATACAATGATTTACACATTTAAACTAAAATATTAAAATATTAACATATGAAATTTGTACATTTAATCTGAAATATATTATGTTTAAAAAAAAATCTATAAATATTAAAGTAGCAAAATTGTAATATACTATAAAATATACTAAATTCAATACATATTACTTATATTTATTTATTAACAAAATACTAAAATCAATCATTATTTAAAATCTCTCATAAAATTACAAGAAAAAAAAACCCCTTTTTTTAAACGGACTGACCCGTGGGATTTGCATATAAAACCTACAAAATTTGCGAATTTCAAAGATTGGACTTAATTTTTTTATAATTATGTGAATTTTTTAAAAGATATACCTATTAATTGTGTAAGTTGTGGGTTCACAGGTCGGCCCACGGGCTTGAAACCACATATCCATCCCTAATTTTTAATACATCATTATTAATCAAATTAATTATTTATTTTTCTCGTTATTTCTGTGAAAGGTGTCTACACCAAGGCTGTCTAAGAATCTTTTTCTATAAGGTTTTGGGTTATAGAGGCCTCAAGCTTCTTGTTTGGCTTGCTCTTAATCCATGGAATGATATATATTTCCCTATTAATTTTCAGTTTCAACTCCCCTTACTACCCAACAATTTGACACTGGCCCACCTCACTCCCTTGACGAACATATCATCTATTGGTACCTAACACCCATAATATATGTGACAGATGGGATTGCTAGAAGTTTGTGGACACCATGCAACAGTAGCTCAATGTACGACCTGAACAGTAGTGACAAGGACCACTGGACTTATTATTAATTAATTTCAGAACTCATCTTATCACATAATATTTTGCTTTTCACTGCTTCCATCCTTTCTCCATTTCAATTCTACTACCACTTGACACACTTGTATTAAGATTTAACAATCTCAAATCCGGAGCAGAATTCACTATATGTTCTAGTGCTATAGCACTTGTTAGCTTTAATTGTGACATTAATCCTCACAAGTGAAACCGGTTAGTGTTGGTTTTTCTGAATTTCTTTTGGAAGATAATATAATAATTTTTTAATGGCTGATGAGAGATGCCTGATTCCACCAGACAAGGAATGTCTAGAAGCTCCTCCTATCTAGATTCCATGTAAGTTATATATTGCTGATTATTACAAATTGGATTCTCTTTTTATATTCAAGCACGTTTCTGTCTTTTTTCTCTTTTCCTTGTTTTTGGTTTGTACTTAAAAGTGAGTGATTTTTATATAATCCAGTTATGGCAAAGGTTCCCCTGAGCTGGTATTGGAAAATGGCCAACTTCACATGCAGCAAGGAGGTTCATCATCAAGTGTCACACGCGTGACTCCCTCGTGCGATGAAGGTTCCTTCAATGCAATAAGTGAAAGGTTAAGCTCACTATACTCTCTCATGGACTTCCAACTTCAAAGAGACTCACAGAAACAAGACGTGGGAAAGGTCAATTCCCCCACCAACGTTTTAAGACCTTCATTGTTTCTTAAATCCACTTTCAAGGGAAACAGCAACACATTGGTTACAAACAATTCAGGTTTACAACGAGTAGAAGAAGAGATTGAAGCTATTAAGTTTGCAAAGGCTTCTAGCAGCAAAGATCTTGATCATTGCTCTGTGATTGACTCATATAAAGGGCCACAGGGTGTCATAGGACTTGAGAGGCAAAACCCTTTAACTTCTGATGCATCAAATCATGTTCCAAGAAGTGAGGAAACACCTCCTGATGAGCAATCCGAGGCTGTTGCTCATAATAGTGCAATTGGTGTTCACAGATCTCATGGTCAGTATCATCATAACCAAACCTCAAGGAACCATGATGACATCGATGACTCGACGTATTTAAGTGATGTAAGTGGAACCGTGTATACTCTACTTTTACCTTCTTTGTAAGCATGATTATCACTTCTCAGGAACCTGGATTAATTAATTACTTGGTGCAGAATGATGAAGAACCAGAAGATGTACTGAAGGAAAAGCCTGCTCGGGAAGGCACCGGAGTCAAGAGAAGTAGGAATGCACAAGTTCATAATTTATGTGAAAGGGTGAGCGAAATGATAAGAAAGAGTTAAAAGAGATTTTTATTTTGTATTTCAATCATGCTATTGGTGTGGGATATCCATTACTTTTGTTAATAACTAATTTTTATTAAAAAAACCTCAGTAGTCATTTTTAGTATGATTTTCCATCTCAATTATGTTTTCTTTATCACAAGATTTACACTCGAGACCTTGGAAGTCGAGTCCAATACCATTCGATAATCTTTGGTAGATAAAACTTACAAAAGAGAATGAGCGTGAAGATTAATTAGTAACATCTCCTTGTTGTGGTTGTTTGCAGAATCGAAGAGATAAGATCAACAAGAGGATGCGTATATTGAAGGAGCTCATACCCAATTGCAATAAAGTTTGGATATATATAACCTTTTCCCTCTTTGATTATTGTTCCCTCTACATAACTCTTCAATTTTATACTTATGTCTTGTATGTGTTTTACTTAGACGGACAAAGCTTCAATGCTTGATGATGCCATCGAATATCTAAAGACCCTAAAGCTTCAGTTACAGGTAACTTCAAGTCTTTTACCTGCATCGAATTTCCTTCGGGCTCTAGATGCAAGCGTATAAGAGTTTTTGACCGATTCTTTGTCAAAAATAAAGAGTTTTTTTAAATAAATAAAAAATAGAGAAACTGTCAAAAACTTTTAAAGTTTGTATTTAAATATGCTCTTGGTATTAAGCAGTGGTAATGTGGTATGGATGTCTTATATATAAGCTTAGTGTTATGATGCAGATTATGTCAATGGGTGCTGGATTTTGTATGCCTTTTATGATGTTGCCTAATGCCACTCATCATCACATGATGAACACACCCCATTTGCATCAGTTAATGGGAGTTGGAATGGGGTTGAGGCCAGGCACAGCCATCCCTTGCAACCTACCTCAGTTCCCTATTCCACCTTTTCCTGATAACACAGTTCGCATGTTTGGTTTCCCTAACCAAGTGCCACACATGCCAGTTTCTCATGCACCTTTCATTCCAATGGTTGTAAATCCTTCCACACAACCCCCTCTTGCAACTACCATAGCTACCAACCCTGCTTCTTCCCAGTTAACTACTCCAATGCCATCACTCCCCAAGAACTTGTGTCTTAGTGGACAAGCTGAACATGCAACAAAGCAAGCACAGAATCAGGTTTCCCTTAATCACTAGCCTAGCCACCAATTTGTATCTTTCAAGGAAAATAACAATTATGTTCTTAGTTATCATCCAATATCATTTTGTAAGAACTATTCAAATTTAAGTGTCTTGTTAGGTGATGAAAGCTTCTGATAACTACAAAACATTTAAAACTACTGCAAGTGTTTCATTCACTAACGTACACCTCATGCGATGCGAATGATAAATGTGACAGGACATTACTTTATAAAGTAGTATGATTTATGAATGAACGTTGAAGTTGAAACAGCATTCTATATTTTAACGATACATGAGAAAAACTAGCAATTTTTAATTTAGTTTTTTTGGTGAAATTTACTAAAATTTTAAAATTCCGTAGATCTTTCTTCATATTTAACGAGTCTTCATTTCTATTTTTTTTAAAAAAAAAAAACCAATAACAATATCCTATAGGACAAAAACTGTCTTGTTTTATTAGCACGCCGGAAAAAACTCATGTAGGACAAACAGTTTTTAAATAGATATTGTCGTTTCCATGATGTCGTGTTTTATGGATCATGCTGTATGCTCCTTATGCTTTTCATGACTTATTCAATTTATATTTTTTTATATAACTAGGAAGTATAACACCTTGTCACTTTATTTTTAAAGATAAAGCGATATATTTAATTGTGACTCCATATTTAAAACATAGATCCAACATTGGTTTTTAATTAAGGAACCCAACCACTTATACTAACAAATGTAGGTTTACTTGGTTTATATGATCATGCACTGTTTGGCAGGTAACAATTGATTTTTTTTTTTTTTCTTTCCAAACGTTGAGTTTGATGGATCGTATCGGTTAGTTATTGGAGCAGGCCTTGCCCGTTTGATGCTAATTAGGATCTGACCACGTTACTAAATTAAGTACATATTACGTTGGGTCTTTATAACAGTAACTTGCATTGAAAATGTACCTAAGGGCTAAGACCAAGTTGGGCTTATTGGGATAAAAAGAATAGATGACACTACGGGGAAAAGAGAAATTCAAGAAAAACAACCTCTTGTAACGAACTTTTGTGAAACTCGAAGTGGTTTCTCTCTCACTCTCTCCATTCTTTTCTCCAAACATTTTTGCAAAACTAATATAATAGATTGTTGGAGACCTAATAACATATTTAACGGACAAATAAGAGAGAAAAATATAGATATGATAAATGATATAATGCGATAAGAAGAAAGAGATAAAAATAAATGACGAATATTAATTAAGTGTTTGAAAAAGTGGATTATCCAAAAAATTATTTTTATATTAAGCATTGTCAGGATTATGTTATGGTTTATATTTGTTTGAGAATGATATATTTATCAAAAAGAGAGTTATATTATATCTCGTTATTTTTATCAGTTACTTACACATAATTCTCCATTATAATAAGATATTGTTCATTTTGAACTTAACAATTTATAATTTTGTTATTAGTCATCACTCCAAAGGAATTTAATCAATAGAGAATGTGTTGTTTTATACTTTCTCATCATGTCTCCTCTTGTTCTTATGATGTCAAGCCTTATTTGTATCCTAACAAACATGAGATACATATTTAAAAATACAGTTAATGCACTACTTAGTTATCCAATTTGATCTTAAGAATGTGAGTTTGAATATAATTCAACCTTAAAAAATTGATTTATAAAATGAGAATCACCTTTCACTTATATATACTATTTTAGTCATATCACTTCATGTGAGATTTCTAATACACTCATCATGTTAAAGAATAAACATCTAGAATGTAAAGTTTACATAACTAAACATCTATGAGGGGTACAACAAGTAATCCAATACACTTAACAATAAACCCCAAACCCTAAACTATAATAAGTTTTAATAACATCTTAGAATATAGGTTTGAACTTAATTGAATTTTACAAGAATTTGGGATTTAGGAAGCATATAAGTTGTGTTACCTCATTTATATACTCTAAATTTTATATTATATCACTAGTTGATGTAAGATTTTCAACATTCCAACCCTGGTTCATTGCTAAATGGAATTGTGATGAGAAAGTACCAAGGTTGGGGTACCATTTCATCATATTGGTTGTTTAAGAACTTCAACTTAAATCACCGAAGATTCTATCACTTAATGCTATAAATATTCAATGACAATATTCGAGGATTTCATATTTTCATTTTACCTTAAGTTGATCATTAACGTTGGTTAACATATAGTTTTCACTTTTCATCACTAACAATAAATTTTTCAGAGTCTCTTCAATCTTTGCAAATGCCGGATGAAAGCTGCTCGTAGCATGGAAAACGTAAATGCAATGGCCTACCTGAATCCAGCTACTCCCTGGCTTTTTCTCCAACCCTTTATCTTTTATCATACTTCTCACCTTTGACATGTCTTCCCATCGTTTCCCAGAGGCATATAAATTTGATAAAAGAACAAAGTGGCCAGGATCATCAGCATTTAATTGGAAAATACGCTCTGTAAGAAGCTCAGCCAGTTCCACTTTGTTGTGAAGTCGACAAGCACCTAGTAAACTCCCCAAGACATTGGCATCTGGTGTCATAGGCATCTTTGTGATGAACTTGTATGCACCATCAAGATCTCCTGTTCTAGCAATAAGATCCACCATGCACGAGTAGTGCTCCGTATCTGGCTCAATTCCATAATCATTAATCATTGAATTATATAACAGCCAACCTCTGTCAAGAAGACCTGCATGACTACATGCGGATAACAGTGAAATAAAAGTGAGTTTGTTTGGTCTAATTCCTGCTTCCTTCATTTGCTCATAAAATGCCAAACCCTTTTCACCTAGGCCATGAGCTCCACAGGCAGAGATCATAGTGTTATATGTTATGACATTCCTTTCCATCATCTGGTTAAAGACCTTCACTCCGAGTTCTAGAAATCCGCATTTGCTGTACATATCGATCAGAGAGTTTCCCACAGAAACATTTAATCCTAGACCACTCTTGGTCACGTAACCATGGATTTCCTTTCCCTGTCTAAGAGCTCCCAATTGGGTGCATATAGGAAGTACACTTACTAAAGTAATGGAATTTGGCCTATGTTCAGCTTCCCAAATTCTTCTAAAGGTAAAAAATGCCGACTCAAAATCACCAACTAAATTATACCCTACTATCATTGAATTCCATACCATAATATCCTTATCTGACATGCACCCAAATACTGACTCTGCTTCCTTTATTGACTCACAATTAGCATACATATCAATCAATGCACTTCCTACAACAACATCAGATACTAGTCCTTCTTTAAGAACAAAATTGTGCATTTCCTTCCCTGGTTTCAACAACTTGAGTTTTCCCAAAGCAGGAAGAACACTTGTAGCAACAACCGCATTTGTTGTTAAACCCACATTTACCATTTCAACATAGAGTTTATAACTCTCTTGGTAAAGGCGGTTTTGTGAGTAGCCAGCAATCAGGGTGCTCCACGAAACTACATCCCTATAAAGCATGTGACTAAACACCCGATGGGCCTCAAGTGGATCACCACATTTACAATACATGTCTATGACAGTGTTGGACACGTATAAATCACTATCAAAGCCACTCCTCACAGCACAGCCTTGCAATGCCATCCCCAATTTCACAGCCTCCAATCTGCCACATACCGATAGGACAGATGCTACAACCACCGAATCAGGCTTAAGCCCTTCTTCTGATCTCATCTTTCTGAACAGCGAAAGAGCTTCAAGCAACTCACCATTCCACATGGTTCCACATATCATGGAAGTCCAAGAAGCCAAGTCTCTATCCGGCATTTCTTCGAACACGCTACGTGCATCCTCCAAGCTGCCACACTTAACAAACATGTCAATCACAGCACAGTGAACGTAAACATTAGGCTTTATTTTCCGGTGCAGTTCATTGTACAAGATGGTAGCGTGAACCCATCTTCCTAATTGAAGTGCATGCATGCAAGAACACGCCTTTAGGACAAGGGGGTATGTGTAATTGTCAGGGGTGACCCCATGTTGGATCATGGTGTGGTAGAAGTGAATGGCTTTGGTGAAGTGGGAAACACCAACTAAACCTCGGAGTATGGCGTTCCAAGCAATGTTGGGCTTGTGGGGCAGTGCACGGAAGGTGAGAAACGCGTGTCGGAGGGAACCGAAGTTGACATAGGCATTGAGAAGGTGTGAAGCAAAGGATGGTGTGTGAGGAGAAGTGGGTTGGAAGAAACCAAGGACAAGAAGAAGAGCGTGCAATCTCCTGGCTTCATGAAGATTAAGGTGATGGAACAAGGATGTGGTGAGGTGAATGGGAATGGGAAGTGAGTGTTGTTGTTGACGTGTGAGTCTGATAAGTATAGCATTCGCATTCACTTTGGAACGAAACAGCATGCTAAAGTGACAAGAGTGTGAAACTACCTATATTACTCCAGTATAACCCAGAAGCCTTATAATGCTTTGTCCTATGTTTTGTTTCTGGTAACACGCTTATTTCTTTCCTTTGTTTCCCCTTTGGTTACATAATAATAATCACTGAGATTAAGATGATTTCTAAGGTTAATTACACCCAAAGAGTGTAAACACTTCAAATGTTTTTTTCTATCTCTTTTCTCCTATCATATTATATACCTATTAGAAAAAAGAAGAAAAAAAAATTGACACCCAAAGAGTGTAAACACCGTGGATGAAAATACATGATATTTGTAAATATTGAGTGTCGAAACTAAATATATAATAGACCTACCTATTGTATTTATTATTTTTTCCTCTTTTATTTCATTTTGTTATCTCTATTTATTTCTTGTCACGCCATTTATTATATCTATTATTTTTTCTCTTTACGTATATTATTTTATATTTATCTCACATTCTCACTCTTATATCCACCTCCAAATAGGGTGGATGTACTTATGTAAAATCTAGTCATGCCTGAACTTATGGAAGCAATGCTAATTTTAGGTCATGTCACCTCAACTCTTTCTATTGTCCCAATACATGTCCCCAGTTTTTGGATTTCCATTTTTCACACGCACAAACCTTTCCACCACGCTTCTACCAGTATGCCAAAGCCCCATCTTTGATCCTCTTTTCTTTTCAAGTTGCAACTCCACCCTTACCTACCATTTTCAACACTTTCAACTTTATCTCATCTTGTCACAACCTACAATTTCTCTTCATAATCTAGTCATACAACCTCCTTGCAAGCTCTAATGCAACAACTTGAAAAGCCCAACTCACCCTTCACCTTTATCAATCATGACTTCTCCACCTCCTAAGGTATTTCCTGGTAATGCAGTCATAGAAATAACGAGAATAACTCAAAGTAAGAGCAAGGAAGAAGGAGCAAATTTTTCCTATTTTGGTTTACATTGGATTTGAAATATCTGAGCCGAAACCGACTGTAGCCGATCGATGTGCAACCCTATAAAAAAATAACACACCTTTTAACCTAAATCCCAAAACAACAGGCATTGGAAATATATCTGTTGTAGAAACAATGGTGTAAAAACATGCATTTGAGATATATATTCGAAATGTGGCCACAGGCCACAACCCAATAGTAGCCTGGTAGGCGACCTTTTAGGACCCCATATATCTTTAAAGGGACACTAAATTTTTTAGTGTATATAAATATTATAAAAAAAAAGTTATAATATTCAATTATACAAAAATTATTATAACAAATAAATTATTAGTCAATAATTAATCAATTGATAGATAATGTTTTTTTTTTTCCACAAAAAATATATCCACGAGTTTAGAAATATTTAATTTCAAGAAAAATAAATTTGTGATCTTAAATATAAAGAGAAAAGCGTGATATATAATATATTGTTGACTTATTTTCTTTTATTTCTCTTAGTATGAACATCTCTCATTATTGATAAACAAGGGTCACATTGAATTTTCTCTCTTTATTCCTAAATCCTTTGATTATACTTTCATTCTCTTAATCATGACCTCTTCTATTCTTCTAGAATTTTAAATTCTCAATCAATCTACAAAACTTTATTTGTTAGTCGCTCCAAACTTCTTTGTAACGTGCGAGCAGTGCAATTAGGTACAACAAATTTTATATTTCAAATTTAAAAATAAGCAATCAGGTACAATTATTTCATCTCATTATTATTTATTCGTTAAAAGATCTTTATTTTATTAATAGATTATAATTTTATTTTTTGTATATTAGGTGAATTATTTGAGTTTGAACATGTTACCTAGAAAGCAACTTTTGAGGCATCTAAAACGAAAAAGAAAGAAACAAATTGAAATTGATATTGAATTTCAAAAAGGTGCTCTTGATAATTTTCTTGTTAAAATCCTATAATTTTTCTTCAAAATGATGCAAATTTAGATAATCTAGACTCGAAAACTAAAAATTTAGTTAATGAAAAAATAGATAAGAATAATTAAAAGTTTAATATTTTAGTAGAAAGTGGAGAAAATAAAGATGATTATCATGATGAGACTAAATATTTTAATGATGAAAATGATCATATTCCTATTGAACAACCTAGTCAGAATAGTTAATTAAACATTTATATCTAATAACATGGAATAACCTTAAAAGTGATTTACGAGATGAATTACTAAAAAAAATGGTCCTAAAGGATATATGACAATTGTGAAAGGTCCTAAGGATACTTTCAATAATGACTTCTCATCATCACATTATATTCATTATTGTTCTAATAAAAAGAAAACAAGATAAGAGTTGGCTTGTTTATTTAAAAGAATTAGATATAATTTTTTGTTTTTGTTGTAAGTTATTTGATACAAGTCATAAAACAAAACACTTAGCAACTAAAGGTTTTAATGATCAGAAATATTAGTCCGAAATACTTAAAGAACATGAATAAGTTATGAACACATGATTTTCATGAGTAAATGAATTAACTTACAAAATAGATTTTAAAAAAATGTTACAATTGATAAACATCTTCAAGAGCATATAATAAAAGAAGGAAGAAAAAAAAGACATTGGAGGGATGTTTTAGTTAGGATAATTTCTATTATTAGATATTTTGTTGAACAAAATTTAGCTTTTTGTGGAAAAATGAAAAGATTAATATAGAAAGCAATGAAAAAAGATGTTCTCTTGTTAAGATGATTGTTAAATGGAATCTAATAATGCAAAAATATTTGGATTTCATTTAGTATAATGAAATTCATTATCATTATCTTGGTCATAAGATCCAAAATCAATTGATTAATATGTTAGGTAATGAAATTAAAAGTACAATAGTCCAAAAAATTAAAAATGCAAAATACTTTTCTATGACTCTTGATTGCACTCCTGATGTAAGTCATCAAGAACAAATGACTCCTATAGTACATTGTGTTGAAGATTGAAGAATCTACATCTGGAAGATGTTCAGTCAAATACCAGTCCCAGTTATAATGATTCAATTATGATTATGCTGACATTGATAATAATAATAATAATAATAATAATAATAATAATAATAATAATGTATAAAATAAAATAAATATAATACCATAATTTTTAATACTAAAAGTTAAATAAAGTATCAATTTATAGGAATAGTTAAGTTTAAATTTAAATAAAGTATAATGTTCAATAATAATAGTAAGTTTATAAAAATATTATATATATATATATATATATATATAT